AACGAAGAAAAGAAAAATTAAAATAAAGAAACGGAATTCTTATTCTGTATCTTCCATGAATTCCAATTGAATTTTCCGAAAAAAAGAAAAAACGCGAATTTCTACTCTTCATCTTCGATAAATCCTACGTTAAATCACTCTAATTCGTTAAGCATAAAAATTACAATAATTTTCTGAATCACTCTTCTCCAGTAGTACGAAAAAAACGAGGAGAAAAACGGAAGCATAAAACGTGAAAATATTGAAGCGGTAAAAAAACGCTTGGCGCAATTAACCTTAAACAACTGGACTGAATGAAAGCAATTAACGGAGCGAAAGGATGAATGAGAGGGGCCTCGACTGGTCCCGTTGAAGCTTTCCAACATCACCACACCGAGTTTTCTATAAATATTTCCTCTGATGCATCCGTGTAGCGGCTTTTAAAACGGCGCTGATTTATTTTTCGTCGAGCGACGGCGAGATTAATCGGCGCCTAACACGCCGCGTGATATCGCGTCGTTGAAAGGGCCGATGTAGAACTGTCTTTACGTAACGAATGGAGCAACTGTTGATCGCGAAACGATGTCCACCCGATGCTTTTCTCTCTTTTTCTTTTTCTGCAAATTTATCGAGCGCCTCTGGTCGTTTTTCTCTTTCGAATGCGCGTAACTTAATTCCGTACGCCGAGAACAGCCGTGAGTAATAATAGTAATCGCTGCTGTTTTGTAATAATCTTCGGTGAGTGAACAATTGAACTGAAAGAAATCATAAAAAAAGAGTGAATGTAATTGGTTGTTAAAGTTACGTTTAATAATGTTCAGCGAGTGATGAACATTTGAATAGAAAGGTATTCATGAAGAAGAGTGAATGTAATTGGCTGTTAAAGTTACGTTTAATAATGTTTAGCAAGTGGTGCATAATTGAATAGAAAGAAATTCATGGAAATGAGTGAACGTAATCGATTGTTAACTTCTGCATGACAAGAATAAATAATTATATTTAGAATTTTATAGAAGAGAGTTACAATGAGTTTGAAAAGTAATTTTAAACAAACTCTTATGGAGAAGATGATAGTCTTTCTGGAGAGAATTAGTACATGTACATATACTGTTTAATACAATATCAATATACAATTATTATTGATATGGCCTCAAGTAAAGAGAGGAGTGTTAATTTATGAACACCTTGGACTAAATTTTGGTCATCTTAAAAAGGATTTTCACTCGTTACATGTTCTTATATTCAAGTGTTAACTTGCCACCGTAATTTATGCCCTTCTTGAACTTTCAAATCATTAAAATGTACAAATTGGTAATGTACAGTCGTTATAAGAAGTTCACAGAGCAATTAAGGAAGAAAGTTCCCGTTATCGGTATGCAACAGGACAAATCAGAGAGTGTAGCGAGCAGGTAAACCGTATCTTGATCAATTTACCGACCGCTGTGAATCAATAAAGGGCCGATAATTCTCCAGCGACTTCGTTCCAGGCGCCTAAGCAGATCGCGAATTAATCTCGACGACCCCCGTCGATTAATCAGCCGATTCCACACAGGCGGAAGATAAATTGCCTTGCTTTTCAAGTGCCCTCTCTTCTCCTTGCTCTTTGTGTCGCCTCCTAGTCTCCTTTCCCGCAATTCACCTAAGCGGACGGTAAAAAAAATTCCGTTGAAAAGCTGAAGCGAAGGAGAAAGAATATAAAAGATTCTACTTAAAGCCTCTATTTTTCGAGGAGAATGCTTGTCGTTATCTTCCGAGAAAAGGACGATCAACATGTAGTTCGCGTGAAACTGTGTTTCCTTAAGAAGACTTTGTTTCGAACGAATAAGAAAATTCTTATTACAAGAACCAAAAAAAAAAAAGGATAAAAATCTCTATCTTTGAGAAAACTGTTCCTTCCCCGACAGAGAAAGTTACAAAGAACTTCGTCAAGGACTCGATTTCTGTGTAACAAGCTTTCTCACTCTTGAATTAAAAATCAAAATGAGAAAAAGATTCTTCGTGAATTCTTCATCTTTGATGAACTTCACTCTTCATAGATACATGGTAGAAACGTGAAATTCTTGGTGGACTCTGCTGTTGATAGATACGCGATAAAAGCTCTACTCCCGAGAAACTGTAGAATTCTGCATGAACTCCACTCTTGATAAATATGCTCGCTGCGAAACTTGGCTCGTCGTCCGCAAAGATCAGACAAAGTCCATGGAGAAGCAGCAGTCAGGAGTGAAGACGCCTACGTGAATTCCTCGATTCCATCGTTTCCTTGATCCCAAGCGGCGTTCTATAAAATATCGGCTGTCTTCGAATGGAGAAGGATCAACCTCTAGTTATGTAGGTCGGCAACGTCAACCGTACTTGTACGGATTATACTTCATACCTTTTGCCTTTAGGAGATGCTCCCCGCGTCTCTCCACATCACGTTCCTGTATTCTTGGAAGCGTTCGTCATTGTACCGTGCGATTTCATTTTTATGGTGCTTCACCAAGACGACGTTTTAATGCTCCTCGCTGCTTCTCCTCCTCTTTTCTTCTTCTTCTTCTTCTTCTTCTTCTTCTTCTTCTTCTTCTTCTTCCTCATCCAACAGCAGCTTTATTTTCCTCCTTAGAGCCACTTTTATGGCTAGAGTACCCGTTTCGGCTGCATTACGGGGGAAAGTGTAGGATAGTGGATGTTTTAGGTAACCTGGTTGGATTATGGTTAGGTTAGGTTAGAGATACTTATGAGATCAAATAAAATTGAATTGTTTCAACGTTTTTTTTACCTGAGTATCCAGAAATAATATCGCATTTTACAAGTTTGTATAAATGGATAATAAGCAAATGAAAGTTATTCTAATTATTTCAACATTACGGTGCAACTGAATCTTTCGAAACACCCTATATGAGATATAAAATTATTACAGATACTTAACGTTCAATTTCCTTTCAATAATATCGTATTAAAAATTTCAGTCGTAATTCATTCAATTCGTAATCTCATAATAGATTGATATTATAATAGGTCCGCTTGGCCATCGTGCAATTATTCAAATTATGCTACGGCCACACGCTAACCTAACCTCGCGTGACCGACGAAAAGTACACACGACGTTAAACTACAAGTTCTGCCAACACGATCTTGCCTGATTAAGAAACTTCCTGATTTTCTACTTTCTTCGATCTCCCTCGATGAATAGCATGATCAGTATTTGGTGAAAAGTTTTCCTCCTCTTCGATCACTATGTTAAAGTTCAACGTCAACGCCACAGAAATTCTTATTCCCGCAAGCTCTTATCCTGACGTTGATGTCTTCCAAGCTACTCTTCGCCGTGTACAGGAAGTCCTATATTAGATTCAAGATGAAAAGCACTTTTCCTCGTCCTACTTCCCCACCTCTACCCTTTTTTTCCTCTGTCAGCAACCGTTACGAGTTTTTTAATATTCAATTTTCATTTGATCGATCGAGAAACTTTTCTTCTCCGTGTCGAGTTATCGTACACTCTCGAAGACGCAAATAAAAATTACGACGACAGTAATTATCGGACTACCCCGTATAAAGAAATCTTTCCGCACGATTCCTTTTTTTATCACGCGATAATTTACGGCCTATCTCGTAAAATCGACGTTTTATTCGTACGCCATTTTTCCCGCGTAATTATATGTAGTTGCTTCCATGTGTTTCCGTTTGTCGGCTCGTAAGCGGTTTTTATTGTAATTTTAATTTACAATCGGTGCGATCCTTGCAAAAATACACGCCTCGAGTGCCCTCACGTTTCCTCCTACGATTAAATCGAGTCTGAAAGAAAAAATATACCACAGGACACGTCGTAAGGAGGATCTCGAATAAATAGGTTTAATGGTGGCCAATAATAATATGGCGGCAATAACGATCGCGCGGACGAAACGGAAATAGACACGCGTAGTAGTATGCAGCGCAGCAAGTCAGACGTTTCCGAGTGTGCACACGAGAACTACGGCCAACTTGTCCCGAAGAATACTCTCGGCCGGAATCCAGGCCAGAAAAAAGCTCCAATTACTCGTCGTTCGTTTTTTCCCCGGTGTTTCCGTCTGGCCGGAACATTTCGCGCCCGAGCAAGCTACAAACGTCACTTTTTTTTTTTGCTTGCTCTCTGGCCTCTGTTCGCCCTGCGGCACGAAGATGCAAACAGCATAGTTCGTTAGAAGAAATCGACACCCTGTCGAGACATTAATTTTGCAGATAGTTTCACGCTACATAATTTGCGCGCCAATTTTTAAAATAGTAATGTTTCGTAATTCCTAAAGTAATACATATAATTGATTAGTTTGCTTTTCTTGAAAAAGAAAAGTAGTTTATTCGATCGATTTGCGTGTATTTTATCGTGTCCTATAGACTACTGAAGAGTTTATACGTATTAGAATTACAAACGCAACTTCTTTATTTACGTATTATATTACCACGAGGAAAAAAGAAGGAATTAACGAGGGCAACGGGTACATGTGGCGATTGGAAACTTGTTGTTTTGAAAGTTAAGAACGACTAAACTAAAGCATCGTATATAAAGGGTGGTTTAAAAAAAGATTAAGGGAATAGAGAGGATAAGGTGGCAGTTTTGACAGACAACTTTAACATTCGAATTATTGGTGACTCTCGCCAAGTCACGTGATACTAAACATTTCGAACTACGGTCACAAAGTATACACGAAAATTCCTAATTCCTACTAATAAACATTTACCACTAACTTCCTAAATATAGACAGTAAAGTTAAGGCTTTAAATCGGCACGAGAATCATTACACGTATTAAACGTCGCTTCAAGGCTCCGTGCGCGCTTCATTCTCTGTCAAACCTTTCAAACTCTCAAGGCAAAAGAGCTCGAAGGACCTCCGTGCGACCGTAGTGGCTGAACGAGCGAGAGGAGTAGGAAAAGAAGGCAGAGAAACACGATCTCGTGTGTATCATTATTAGCCTTCAATGCGGCTCTCGAATGTTGTCAAAAAATATCCACGGCGCAACAAAACGCCCGTGAGAAAGTATGCACACAGATAAACGTGAGTGTTACTCACAGTTTGGTAAGGTTGACAGTGGATGGAAGTACAGTGACGTCGAGAGGCTGCAGGATGGAGAAGAAGCCAGCCCCGCGACAAGAGTATTCCCGACCGTCGGCAGTGACGTTGCAAGATTCCAGAAGTCCGGGTATACTCGAGGACCCCGGTTGCTCCTCGGCAGAGCAAATCCGGCAGAGGACCATCGCCAGAATGACAGCAGCAGCAGCGTTGCCGCGACAGGACTGCGTGCACATGCCGGCCAACTTGCTTCTCTTCCTTCCGTCCGCCGGAATCGCCGCGCCCAGGACACCACGTTTTCACTTCACCATTAGCATTATATAGTATTACTAATCGCACATCGAGACACGGTTCCCCTCGACAAGCGAGAAGACGTACGCACAGAACAACAGCGTGTTTGAGAGCTTGCAAGCTCGCGAAACAGGCAACGCGCGCGCTCACTCGCCCTTCGACACGATTCGAGCAACCGATCAACGCGTCACGGCTTACGTTTACCAACTGACAGCACGGCTACGTGCGTAACTGCACTGATTCGCTAACTCGCTCGCGCCCCTAACCCCCACCGCCAACCCCGGTCACCGCCTCAAGCCAATCAACTTTCTCCGCCGTGCGCGCTACCGATACTGTTGCTGTTATAGACTCGCGGCGATCGACGCTCCGCGATCTGCCGTATATAGATATTCGATCGATTTTGCAGTTTTGCTTTTCTTTTTTCGCTTTAGTTTTTGTGTAAGGATGGATGATTAAATGGATTTCTGACGGTCCAATGTTGCCCGCTTGGTTGGTGGAACAATGAAGGAAGTTTGTGTGTTTTAAGTTACTTTATAGTTGAGAGTATTTGGATTGGTTTTGGATTAAGTATTGTTTTGGTGCAGAGTGTGAGAGTTTCAAGGTTGCGTGTTTGGACGTGTAGCACGTATTCGATACTTCCGCTTAGGATATAATATTCGAGGCCTGAAATTTATATCGTATAGCTAGATAAAGGGACAATTATCGAGAGATAAGATAGCATTTCTATCATGCTTTAAGTAATAATTGATATGATAATCGTGTAAATGCAAGTGTCGTGAGTTTCAAATAATGTATAGCGAGCCCTCTCTAGGCTACGTATTAAAGCGTGCAATAATAGCAATCGGTAATTATCAGTGAATAAAGTAGGGTACGATAAATGGTTTTCTTCTATGGGTAATTAAAATTTCTGCAAAATTTTTAACAATGAGGTATTTTTTTGAAAACGTACACTTGACTTTCACAATTTTTTTATGCATGTCCAAAACGTAATACTAATATAATGCAAATCATGTAGTACCTATAAAAGTCTACAATTAAGAACACGCAATCGGTAATAAAAAAATAATTAAATGAATGTATGTATGAGTCATTATGGTAATGAATATATTTCGATTTATTTTCGAGTTTATGGAGGGGTGGATGTGTCGAAGAGTGAACGGAAGAGAATGGTAAACATCTATGTACTTCATTTACAAACTGATCGATTATACAAAATACGCGGCCAATTGAGCCATCTTATCTTTCGGGGCATGAGGTTTTCCCCGACTACGACCTTTAGTGTGACCACGACCGCGAGTCGCGACCGGTTTCGAGGCGACAGCACGATGTTTCTCTACGAGAGCCAGGAAGGCTGGTGTGCAAAAGACACAACCTGTCATCTCCGTGGCTTCGTTAGGAAGCTTGGTTTTCTCCTACAATCAAAAAATTATTCCAATCATATTTAAAATGAAAAAATCCTTTGATTCTCGAATACATAAGAATGTATTGATGTCAATGTGACGTTTGAGATTGATCACTTTACCTGCTTATATTCCACAGTGACTAATTGCGCCCCACAATCGCACACGTCTGTATCGACAGTTACCTTGTGAGCATTCTCGAATAAATGAATAATAACGTCGCAACGATTGCATCCAAGTTTCCATTTGGGTGCAGCCGAAGGATCAAGTACGAGTATACCAGCGTTGCACTCTAGACAACTCGATAAACCATTAGAGTTCATGCCGTGTGGGCATGTTGGATGTGTGCAGGAATTACAACCGCTCATTCCCTTTTTCATATCTCTAGAATTTGAAATTTATATGTGAGTTATAACTTTGGTAATATAAAAGTGAATATTCCGATGTGAAAAAAAGTACCTAAATGGAGGATTATTGTAACAATATGGACAGAACGTGTAGCTCTTTCCTCGTGCTCCGGTGGACCACGAGAGCAACTCGAAATCATCCAATGGACACTTGAGTTCTTTATATATTCGTATATTGCCATTTTGTGGAAGATTATAGGTCTCGTTACAGTGTGCACAGTGCATCCTCGATGGTTTTGTTTGTATATATTTCATATAACGTCGACACTTTCCACATCTAGAGTGTGCTTTACCCGATGCAGACAGAGGAGTAAATGAAACTTCAAACAACTGATCCATCGCCTCTATACTTTTCACAAAGTAATGGAATTTTTGTTTGAAAATTTCAACCGTATGCTGTAGCACAGCGTGGAAATCTGCACGTCCCAGAGCTATTAAATTCAATTGTTCCTCTACTGCTGACCTCATTGTAGGTAAAACTAGCTCAGGATCTATCTAATATTAATAAAAAATTATCACATGATGGATTAATGAATTGTCCCCTTTGTGTGAAGTGGGTATATACCTTTTGATATCCATGTACTAATACAATCCCTAGAGAAGTAGGAATTAACTTTCTACCAGCTCCAACATTGACATAATTTCGTATACATATATTGTTTATATGTACTGGAATAGAAGCGTCAGTTCCAATACTATGTTTCTCCATAAGAGATATCAATTCAGATTCTGTTAGATAATCTGGGGGTTGCGTGTAGCATTCGATTAACTTTGTCTGTAAAAAATATAAAAATAAATAATTAGAAATTGATCAATATAAAAGTCATCATTCTTTAGTCTATGTGATTACAACCTCCTGTATATTGACTTGTTCACCAGGTGTAAATTTAGGCAAAGTGTCGTTGTTTCCAAGCGCCTGCCAAGTAAGTATATTAGTATATCCGGGATCTAGTAAACTGTGACCGTTCGCCGTGAACATTTCCATTCCTATCTCAAATTTAACCGTGGTACTCAGATATTTACAATCATGAGCCAGCTATAAAGAATGTACATGTAAACCTTTTAAAATTGGAGAAATTTGCACCTCGTTATATTAACGATACTTACTGTAGCAATAAAATGTCGTGTTATGAAATCGTATAATCTCCACGAATCCCCATCAAGTTCACTTCGTGTAGCATGTTTCATTGGCGTAATGGGTGGATGGTCCCCAACGTTAACTCCCTTTTTCGGTCTATTAATACCTGTCGCCAATATTTTACGAACATGATCTCCCCAATCAGAACTACTCTGTTGTTGTTTTAACGTTGCACTGAATATGAAAATTTTGTTTACCAGTTTAATGAAAATAAAAAAAGAATATGAGGTTTATATAATTTAGCTTACAGTAAGTCAAAATTATCTGGGTATAATGTTGTTTCGGTTCGAGGATAACTTATATATCCCTGAACGTATAGGCGTTCTGCAATCTGCATAGCATAATGCGGACTCATACTTAAGCCCGAACTTGCTACCCTCATCAATTCTACTGTGTTTAGAGCTATGGGCCGTGGCTTTGTTTTCTCCGTGCTTTCTACACTTATTACCCTGTATTATTTAATATGATATATAATATTACTGTGCTGTTGTAACATTAATTTAGGATATTGATAAATAGAAAATGCGCAAAATTTACGTTGCTTGCTCGTATTCCTTAACATGACTTAGAAACATATTTGCTATTTCCTTATCGAAAGATCGTACTCGGCTCCAATTCACAATAATGGCTTGGCCATCAGAACATTTAACTGTAACCTTCAATGCATTTCAGTTTATCTTCATCTTCTTACTGAATTGTAGAAGAATTATATTCTAATATATAGTATAATATATTTATTCTAACAGCTATAAATTATACCTGTAGAACCCAATATGGATCTGGCTTGAATGTCTGAATTTCATCATGCCTTTGTACACAGAATCCTAATGTAGGTGTTTGACAAGGACCATAGGAAATGAGAGAAACATCTAAATTTCCATATTTTCCCTGAAAAAATTTTGTCTGAAACCTTGTAAAAGCACAACCAATTCTTAAATCCAGTTCTTGCCGAGCATCGACACTTTTTGCTTCATTTTCATTTGGCCTCACTAAATTTTCTAATGCAGATTTTATATCCTTTTCTGTGATAGCAGAAAATCTTGCTCTCCAAATATCCTAAAAGAAATATTATACTTACGAAATTATTTTGAGTAGTATAATCACTTACATTAATATGGCAACACCTACATTTGAAGTTATTCTTCTATTTGTACTTTGCTGAATTGAATTTATAACTTCAAAACAAATATTTTCACCCTCTTTGTCACAATCTAGCCACAATACTAAGGAATCACAGTGACCTCCTTCTTTAGCCAGAAAATAAGGGATTTTTAATCTAGGAACTGCTTCTTTCTTTTCAGTTGGACACACAAATAACTCTGCCTTAAACATGACAACAAATAACTTATTAACATCTATAAATGTGTATGATACAATTCCACAGAGCAATCAGTTTTCTATCTTACAGGGTCAACTTTGTCCCAGTTACTGTATTTTCCGATAAAGTATAATGTCATAACATGACCATAAACAGAGGTCATTTTAAAATTAACAGTCTCTGACCTGAATTGACCTATCCATTCATGCACTGAACAAGATCCATTTAAACCTAAGAATTATATCCCATTAAGAAACGCATTATAAAACTATTTATGTACTAACTTTCCAAAACCTAACCTACCTTTTCTGGTAGTACATTGACCATTGCTTAAAATATTGGCTAAAGAAGCTGCCAAGGATGGTTTTTCAGCGACCATTAAAACCGACTTCATTTTTGTAAAGTGTTTTATTTATATACTTATTTCTACAGAAAAATATTAATATTTACTACAAGTGTCTCACAACATTATACTCAGCGGAGTTTACTGTGCGAGTAACACGCATGACATGTCATACATTTCGAAAAACATACAAAAATTGTTAGATTTCTTAAAGTAGCTGTCAGTTTTAGATTTTATTTTTCTGTACTTATAAACGTTTCAGTTTTTAAACATTGAAATGACAAGCATAAACTACCTTCCTATTTCTTGACATGATGTAAAGTAAAGGTACTAAGGGACTATAACAACTTTACTTCTTTATGCATAAACGGTTTCATTAGTTTTTTATACAATAAAAATTTGATCTATGTAATAGTAGACTTATCAGTTTTAATTTACTTCATATTACACGCGGCAAAAGGGTAAATAACTATATTAATACCTGCAGTTTTACGAATAAGTCCCTAAAGCTCGTACGGCTTATTCAGTAATTTCCCATAAAGTAAATATTTAATTTACATTATTTCAATTAAAATTTGATTATTTGATTAAATAAATGTACCAAATATACGCAAAAATAGAATTATTAAAGTGGAATAATAATTTTTTATTTCTTTACTATGCTATCAAATTAATGTATTATAGTCGGCTATTCAAGTTGTACACTAGCCTGAGTTGTTTACACGACCCTTCATAATTCGATGGTATTATTGTGTGAAGTAGATTAAAAGCCAGACACATTAATACAGTGATACAGTGTGTCATGATATGTTTCCAACTTTAAGAAGTCGAGTCTGAAATGTCAAAATCATTGCATTACCCGGTTATACATAGTAACGCCTTTAATCATTTTGAATCTGTGACTCATCGCGTTTGTCACCATTGCGTCTGAAGAATCAGATCTTATTTTCAATAAAAAACCCTTAACCTAATCATTACTTTTGAAAGCAGCTATCTTTGTATGTGCTCTATTTATGTGAACATTTTTATGATGTTTAACATGCTTATATGATTTGTAACAGGTAAAGTGATTACATTACTTGCATTATAATCATGGAATGGTTATTTGGAAAACGAGTTACTCCTGAGGAGATGCTCAGGAAAAACCAGAGAGCTTTAAACAAAGCTATGCGTGATCTAGATAGAGAGAGGATGAGAATGGAACAGCAAGAGAAAAAAATTATTGTAGACATAAAGAAACTTGCCAAAGATGGGCAAATGGTAACCCAATATGATTTTATAAAATATATTTTTAGTATTATTAAGTAATTGTTGTAAATGGTTCAATAGGATGCAGTGAAGATTATGGCTAAAGACCTTGTAAGGACTAGACGTTATGTGAAGAAGTTTATGTTAATGAAAGCTAATATACAAGCAGTTTCATTGAAGATTCAAACACTACGTTCACAAAATACAATGGCACAAGCAATGAAAGGAGTTACAAGAGCAATGCAAAATATGAACAAGTAAGAATATTTGTATTTTTTTAGAATTAGAATCAAGAAGTTGTATTCTATCATTATTCATAAATACTATTTATTTGTATAGACAATTAAATCTTCCCCAAATACAAAGAATATTGCAAGAGTTTGAAAAACAGTCGGAGATTATGGATATGAAGGAAGAAATTATGAATGATGCCATTGATGATGCAATGGAAGATGAGGGTGATGAAGAAGAAAGGTACTTGTCCATATATTTTATCAAAACATTTACTTTTTTAAAAAGAAGTAACCTGGTGATCATTCAAGATTTCAATTGCTTATTCCTTTTGTTTATGTAGTGATACTATTGTATCACAAGTTTTGGATGAATTGGGTCTGCAACTGACAGATCAGTTGCCTGGCCTGCCACAGGCATCTGGTTCACTAAGTGTAGCTGGTTCAAAGCAACCAGTTGCAGCTGCTGCAGGAAATGATGACGGTGGAAATCTCGCAGATGCGGATGCTGATCTACATGCTAGACTTGAAAATTTGCGACGCGAATAAAAACGGAATCTTGTATAGTTAAGAGATGTATAAAAGGTGTAAAAAAAAGTTTTGGTTTTATAAACATAATTAATTTTGTATGCTCTACAATTTTAGTTAGAGATACAAACATTTTATTATAGCACTTGTTCAATTCATTCATTTGGATGATCAATTCATTATATGTGAGAAAAGGAATATTATTTCTATAATTTCAAACTGTTACTTGTAAATCTATGAAATGTCAATGATACACAAAGGTATTTACACTACCTATAATTGTGTATTAACTTATTATTACCTTTTTATAAAAAAATGGAACAAGATAATCTAGAAAAATTTTGTGCATGTCTCTTTGCATAAAACAACCTGTAAAGTGGACAATTTACACTTAAAGCTTACTCAGTATACACATATATTGCAACAAAATACTTACTGTATTTTGATAATTACATGTGCATAGGTTTACTTGAGATGTTTATAGTTCATGTACATGTATATATATGCTTTTATTTTTTTAGCACATATTGTGCACTTACTGTTAAAGTAAATAAGAAATGAGCTAGTAATTTTTATAAAGATGAAAGGAAACTTAATTACATACCATTGTGTGCATGAATATGTTTAGTCACTGCTTTTACTGAGACTTAAACTTTCAGTGCCTCACAGCATATTTGTTTCAATAATTATACAATAATAAAAAGTAAACATTATTCAGGCACAATGACTGTATTAATAAATTTTATTTATAAATTGTACTAACTACAACAACTGACTATATATGATATATTAACATATTTACTGATAGCAATGCAGTGAAACAAAATTGTGCAATGACGTATTAAATTTGCGGATAATACATATATAAATCACTGAAATAACAAAAATGTTAATAAAAACAGTGAAAAATAGTATATCGTTAAATAAAACGGAAACTTGATAACTTAAGTCCATTCTTTAATACCTTGAGAAAATATCAATAACTGTTTTAACTTACCTTTAAATTATGACTAGCTAGTTTAAAAAAATGACTGAAAATAGTAGTTAAACGAATCAAAACAATCTAACTTTCTAAGGTCTTATTAAAAAGAATCTAAAACTTATATGGAAATCACAAAATTGGTATTGGTTCAACCTAATCGAGAATCGACCTACCCAAAATATTTTCCGAAAAATTATTCAATTGTACAGGGTGTAATGGTCAATAATTCTGAGAAATATGAAATATTATCTCTATTAAACGAAATGTACATATACATAATAATGCGCAGTAGATAATCATTCTAATATCCTGATCGTGAAATACAGGTATAAAATAGAAGTCTGGTCTGGTTTCGAACATGGCCTAGTAGACGTTCAAAATGAATACGAACGTTTAATTAATCGATCGAGTGCACTGAATCGATAATTCGGTATTGTTATGGAAAGTTTCAATAAACGTATGTATGTAACGTGTTACTGGACCGCAAGTACGGTATTATCGTGAGACAGAAAAAAAAATGAAAAGAAGAAAAGAAAAAATTGTTTTATACGATATTACTAAAACAATAGAACGAGGAAATTCTTAAGGATACGCGAATTTCTTGAATGTCGTACGTGTTTAATACGCAATTAAAATTTCGAAAACCGGATGTCGTTACGATAAACCCTTATTTTACTTTATTTTTTCTAATCTGTAATAACTCATCATTTATACAATGATTAAAATCGCATACCCTTTTGTGCTTCCTTCGTTCATCGAATGGTAAATCCTATAGAAATACGATGTAGTTTACAAAACTGTGATGGAACCTTCTGTCAATCACATGTATATATATTGTCAATATCTTTTTTAAACATCTCAGAGGTACCGCCCAAACATAACGTACCCCAAGCTAGAATCGTATAATACCGAAGAAATGTCTTGTAGCGCCCCCCGTTATGTTCACTTAGAATTAAACGCTTTCAAAAATTCACGCCCCTTCTCAATACTTCGTTAGTCACATGAAGTATTATAATATACTAGATAGTAGTTGTTTAATAAATAGGTGATAGTAAATACTGAATAAAATAAAACCATCTGCAAATTCGTAATATATCGAGGATGAATCTGTTTCGCTTGTATATTCGAATGAACTATGTGTGTTAAAATGCTTGTCGGTTAAACGGTTATTAACTTTTTGGCGGGAAAACTATTTCCGCAAGCGATATTTTTATACACTGATTCATGCGAGAAGATGTAATCGAAAAATCGTTTTTAATTTCATCGCGAGACTATATTCTCGATATTCTGTCGAAAATCGTTCGCGTAACGAGGTTATTACCCTGATATTCGTGCAATTGAACGGAAATTAATGGTCAAAGGGAATCAGAGCGGGAATTTTAATCCGCTTTGAGTACATCTACAACTGTGGTTCTTTGATGGTACGCAATTATGGATTTTTTTTCGTAAATAGCACCATTTCTATAGTAATCGTTTTCTCCGAATACAATTTTATATGCATATTCATCAGGTTCGGTTTGAAAACTTTGAAAGTGTATACAGCAACAAGAAACAAATCTGTTAGCCTTAACCTGAAATATACCCTCTAATGTACCAGCTAGTTTTATCTTGTAGTAGAAAAGAAGATAGAAGATTCAAAAGAAAAGTATACAGTTGAATTGGAACATACATTTTCCACCACGTAGTGGATTAAAAAAGATTTGTTTCTTGAATCAAGACACCGCTTGAAAATTTTCAGACCGGACCCTGTTATTTACTGTAATGATGCGCGAGATGCTACGATATAATAGAAAGTCGTACGCAACACTGAACCGCATGTTATTATCGCAATTTATACACTTCTCGTTGGATGGTAGGGGAATAAATATGCGCGAAGAACAATTCATTTTTTTTCCTTTTAAATATTCGCTATATAAGTGTGGGATTATTAGACCTTATATACGGTGTGTAATCTGTGCATTATGTACGTTTTTTTCTCTTTTTGTACGCATGTGTCTTACGTGTACGTACTAGTATGCGTGTATGTATATGTATATACATACACGTAACATATATACACATCTAAGCTATGTCGAACACAGCCTTCTCTAGATGCAGCATTAAAATCCGACAGCTTTCTTCGTATTCTTTTTTGTTCATTCCTTAATATCTGTGATGGAATTATGAGTAGGAAATATTAAGTCATTTTTATCTATCGGTAGACATGTGCGAATATATTGATACTTTTCGCTGAATCGAATCGAATTCATTTTCGTAGTGGAAATCGATCGTTCGAAGCAACTGCGATATTTTAAACAATATGAAATAATAATATCGAGGAAGACTACATTGATTATTAACTGAAGACTATAATGGTAAGTGGAAAAAGTAATGTGTTGAAAAAGTATTTTCCTTGACGAGTTATTACATTGTTAATAGTAATTCGCACATGCCTGATCTATAATAACTATTATCATGTTCTCCTCACGTCAACCTAACCTCGCGTATCGTTAAGTGTTTTTTCCAAGATCCATTTACGTACGCGAGTTTCCACATAGATCTGTATTTAATATCGACTAAAAAGCTCACGAGTAAAGTATTACGTCGGGAAAAAAGAAGAACAAAAAAGAACGCGTCAAAAGACTGTTCGAAAAGATCGTGGACGTTCGTAACAACATAAGTGAGCAACAATTAGGCTTTCGATTAAAATCACTGATCATGTAGAATTCCGATTTTATCGATTGTGCATTCATTCGTTTGTTTAGCCAAATGTCGCATCTTCAACAGCGACACTCTTTGTACGTTTTCCCTTTCCTTGTCCAAGTACATACCAGGAATTCATTCTTCAATCTTAACAATTAATTGAAGGTAATTATATGTATATTCCTTGATATATGAAACAATTAAAATAAATTTAACTATGAAACATCTTCGAAGGAAAGACAAAAAGTATGCTGAATAAAAAAGAGTACTGGCTTAACGTTTGAAGACAGCCCTCTCAAACACTTTGCACGAAATTGTGATAAGATTGCCGATATATGTATGTATACACGTATTTATATGTATATGTATATATATATATTGGTTTTTTGTATTTTCAGTAAGATATTTACAAAAAAAGTATAGCAAAGTATGCTCGTTAATAACATATGAAGTAATATCACTGGATCCGTTAAATCTTACTTTTTTTTTTTGGTTAGAGAATTATTTAATCCTTTTCATACATACGCGATCGTATATACCACTATGATATCTACGTTTCTTTAACGCTTTCTGTAAAATGATTTTATATTGATTCAACAACTTCGCGAACTACGTGTATGTGTATGTATTTGTGTATTTCTTATTTTTCCTTCTTTTTTTTTACATATTTTAACTATAGATTATTTGCAGTCGATATCATTTTTTTTTTTGTTTTAAATATGCGTATATATGAAGTATACAGTCCGATTATGGCGGGTCGAGATGTTTTTAACCCTTTATTTTGTTCCGCATGAGTTGTTCCGTTGTGTAGCGTATTTTTATGAATGAACTTTCTGGAATGTCGCGGAAATCGTGTCTCATCGTGAACTTCCTTGAGAAAAAAGCAAGGAATCGTGCATGTTGGATTTCACTAAATTTCCTAAATAAAGGGTTAACAGTTTTTTTGCTGTCTCGTGGTATACTCTCGTCAAATGGTCCGATAGTTATTGCGATATTACAATTACTTCGTGTTAAATTCCGAATTGTTCCTTTTTTTTATTTATTTTTTTTTTTTTATCCTATTGAATCCGGTGAAAACTTGAAATCATCGTGAAACAACTTTTCCTTCCATCTGTCGGCGAACGCACGTGATTGCACTTCGTACTCTATGTTTGTAACTTTGGTCCTTTTTGGTGAGAATTTTTATTACGTCCTCCGTTGGTAACGTAGATCGCCACCGTCGAAGTCCTCTCTCGACGAGAAGCTAAGTACATTACGAAACTTTGTAATTAGCGTTCCGTTCTCTAACTTTACCGAGATCCCTTGGACTTTCTTGATATCGAACTGTGATTGACCAGTTTCACCTTCCAATTTCATT